AGGCTGGTACATCAAAACATACAGAGGCTGGCACATAAGAACAGACAAAGGCTGGTACATCAAAACATACAGAGGCTGGCACATAAGAGCAGACAGAGACTAGTACATAAGAACAGACAGAGGCTAGCACATACCTTCATGCCTGCTAAATTTGCAGAGGGCTCTGTCTCATTTGGGGCTTTCTGGTCAAGTGGCAAAGACTGTTAGTGTGGTAATGTGATGTCCACCACCACTACAACATCAGAGTATATTCATCCCTATGCCCCTGAAGTATTTGCCTTTATTGCTTCCTAACTGTGTGCCCTTGGGCATGTTACTCACATTCTGAGCCTGACTGTTGTCATCTGTGCAGTGGGGCTCATACCTCTGAGCTGCCCCAGTCGGATATAAAATACTCAGCAGCAGGCCTCAGGCAAGGCCAATGTGGAGAAGTACATATGTCCACTTCTCCCCTGCTCCCTGGGTTTTGCTTGTTTTACTCCAGTGTTTATGGTCTGTCCTGAACAATGTTTAGCATTCTCCAGAAATACTAAGCGGGCATACCGACTGACATGAGTCCTGGCTGCTCCTTAAGAAATCAACCTCTTGCCAGCCTAGGTAGGACAGGCCTCACTTAGTGCTTGCTGCTCCGTTGCTTCATTAGGTGGTAGCACTGTGTCTGTAAGGCAGTCAGAGTCACCTGCATATCATTAAACACAGGTGTCCGTTATTGAGGACTGACTATTTTCAAGGGTGAAAAACATGTTGTATATATTGGGTCTGACACAAAACACAGTTCTCATCTTAAAGAAAATAAGATAGTTTATTTTGGAGCCAAATATAAGTGATCATGTTTAGTACTCAGATTACCCCATCCGTGTTTTGTTAAGGAACTTGTTTCATGGAGTCACAGAACAAAATAAAATCATAAATCTAGACTTCAAATCTATTGATAGGAACATCAGGTGTCAGATTATAGTTAAAGTGAGGGAGGTCTCTATTATAGGTCTCAGATGCTGTCTAATGACATTTAGATTAACACATTCCAAAAAGTTTCACCTGACAGTCACAAGGATGTGTGGTCAGACAGAGGTGAGCAAGGAATGGCTGGCTATCAAGGAAGCTAAAAAGATAGAAGATGACAGTTTGGCTCCAAGCCTGCAGCATGCCAGTTCTCCATAACCAAGGAGCCTTTACCAACCTACCTTGTAGAATCTTCAACATTAAAATTGTTCTTTTTTTTTTTTTTCTGCCCTGAGAACTTCAATCCAGAGTCTTTACCATGGACGACTGTTGCCATTGTCTCTTTTATCCAACTTGGAGAAAAAGGAAGTCAGAGAGGCTGGGTTATGTCCCTAAGTCTGTCCAGCCTGCTAGTGTCAGAGCCGAGCTTCCATGGAGAGTGGTCCTCTCTGCTGCTCCTCTAGAGCAGTAAGCAGAGGTGCAGTGCTTCTGCGGTCCCTACCTCTTCCTGGAGGACAGACTGGAGATGACAGCTTTCTATTCTGTTTGTCTCTCAGCCCCCAAGTAGCACTCAATAAATAGATGACAAGTGATCTTTTTCATGGACATAACTCACCAAAGCATGAAGTGATGGGGACATTTATAATGAACGTAAGTGTTTAAAGTGTCAGAAAGAGAAAAGCAGACAGCATGGCTAAGTGGCTCCCTGGCTTCCACACCTGACTCAAGGCTCTGGCAGCGAAGCCCTCACCTCATCTTTGTCACTGCACCCCTGAGGCATCCATGGATCACTTTCAAGGTCATACCTCCTTGTGACATATAGGTTGTCATGACTGTGCCCATAGAGTCCCAGCCATGCCTAGGAAGGCAACTGGTACTTTTCTCCTTCAGACCATCAGTTACAGTGGGAGCACTGCACAGGTTTTTAGCTTCTCCTTCTCTAGTGCAGATGCCCCTCCCAGAGTGTGATCTCCCACAGTACCCTTTTCAGCTTGGAAATGTAAACTCCACAGATTGTTTATGATTTGGAAAAGCTAGGGCTCCCAAGCCCCTCAAGTGTCTGCCTTTATTGTTTCCTAACTGTGTGCCCTGGGCATGTCACTTACATTCTGAGCCTGACTGTTGTCATCTGTGCAGTGGGGCTCATACCTCTGAGCTGCCCCAGTCGGATATAAAATACCCAGCAGCAGGCCTCAGGCAAGGCCCATAAGCCAAAAATGTGTTCCCTTCCCCTCATCCCACCCCACAGGAAGCTTCCTGGGGTTTGCTTATTTTACTCCAGTGTTTATGGTGGGTTCTTCTGCACAATGCTTGACATTCTCCAGAAATACTAAGGTGACACACCCCAGTCCCTGCAACTGAAGTCAGTCCCCAGCTGCCCCTAGGATATTGGCCTATAAGCTAACTTAAATGAAGCTGGCAGGAGTGCCACACACACTGATTCCTTAGCAATGCAGGTTTATTGCTAAAGGGATGATGGACCCTGAGGCTCACTGGTACCCCCCTACCCCCACCCCATGAGGGAATGGAAGGAATTCCATGGAGGAGGGTCTGTAGAAGCATTGTAGACAATCTGTACTGTGAAAAGGCCCTGCTGGAAAGCCAGTGCCAAGAACAGCCTGGAGTGGGAACATGGCTGTGCCATCCTGCTCTGGGATACAGGGATTTGGAGAAAGGGACTCAGGCCTCTGGAAAACAGAGTTTAATGTGTCCCACAAAGGAAGGCAGGCAGCCAGCACTAGGTGGTCATGGGGCCCTCTGGCTTAAATGAAGGGGAAAGCCACAACTTGGAAAATGAAAAGAGCCTGCCACTCATCTGGCGAACAAGAAGTATAGCCCCACCCCCACCCCATCCCTCCAACCCCTTCTAATTCAGAGCTAGCTCTCATTTATGGCCCAGGTACAGGAGGGCCTTTGCTGAGGCTTTCTGTGCTATCTCTCCTAGATAAAGCCCATGAATGTGGAGTATCTCATGATGGATGCTTCCATCCTCCTGCCCCCAACGGGCACTCCACTGACTGGCATTGACTTTGTGAAGCGGCTGCCATGTGGTGATGTCGAGAAGACACGGCGGGTGAGTAAGTGTGATCTGGCCTCTCCTGGCCCATTGGGGAAAGGGTCTCTAGATCAGTTAAAGTCTGCCTCCAATAGGTATCTAGTGGCCTGTAAAGAATACCCTCACACATGCATCTACTACCACACATGGCTTTCCAAAGCCTGCTGCCCTTGGAAATTGGAGATTGAGATTCTGTGGCAACTGGCACCTCTGTGGGCTGCTGCTAGACCACCTGCACCAGGGCAGAGTGTAGCCAAAACCCTGAACGGAAGCCAAGCTAAGCTTCTTTGAAGCATGAGGATACAGAGCCTAGAGCACCCAGTACGGGGAGGTGGGTGTGAAGCTCGGCTCTGGGGTCTCAGAACCCCAGGCAACACACTGGCAAAGTGTCCCATAGTAAGAGGATGGTGCTGCCTGGCCAGGAGGCAGGAGAGTATGTGTACAGAGCCTTGTTCTTAGAAACAGCAGAGGGTGATCCCCTTATCAGCACTTGGTTCTGAGGTGGCCACTCTAGGAAGCAGCCTCGGTCAGGCTCTTCACAGTATTTTATCTCCTGCGTAAGATCTCGGTTTCTTTCTTAGAAAGCAATGCTGCCTTTTCCTGGAAAATCATTCCCTGGAGACATAACTGTGGATGGATACTTTAGAGGCATTCAGGACAGCACCCAGGCTGACTGCCGTCTTCCTCAGTCTGTCTGTGGCTGGAGCAGCAGATGGGTTCACTTTGGGATTTCAGAAAGCAAGTGATGTAAAGTAGTGTGTGCCTCAGACAAGAGGCCTCTGGACCTCCTCCACCCTGCTGCTGCTTTTAACCATGTGCTCAGGAGCTACAGAGGAAGTGGGGACTTTGTATCTTCAAGCAACACACATTCCCAGCCCCCTGAGCAAACCACAGACTCCTGCAAGTTGTCCTCTGACCTCCACGTGTACACATAACACATACTTTTTTTAAGTGTAAGATCAAAATACCAAAAGTGCCCCTGAGTCATAAGAGCCCATAAGGGATTTTCATGTTGAAATAAAGTCATCAGAGTTTTTGAGGTCCAGGGAGAGACTGAAGGAAGCAGAACTTGGATTTGAGCTGTCCCCACTCAGGTAGGGGCAGTTGGAAGAAGAGGCTCAGAGAGAACACGAGTTCATGAGTCAGGCCTGCAGAGGTTAGAGCTGTGTGATCTTGTCATTGTTTAACCTCCCCAAACTTAAAGTGCCTCCCTGTGCCCTCTCAGCGTTTGCCCACAGTAGCTGACAGTGTGACGTTTCTGGCAGATAGTAAACACTGAAAGTGTCGAGCCAGGAGTGGAGTGCACCAGTGTCTAAGATGAGCAAGAGAGGTTTCACTCAAGGACTCGGACTAGCTAAGCTTAGTGCAGAGGAGAGCCAGCAGGGGGCCGTGGCAAATGCTAAAGTCTGAACTGAAGCATTAGCTATCTGGGAAGCCAATGGCAGCGGGTCCCTGTGCTAGGGTGTTGTGTTCGGTCCAGGGATGGAGCCAGGACATGCTCATGCACAGCAAGTGATCAGCCTTTTCTCAGTTTTGTTTGAGACAGTGTCTCATTAAGTAGCCCAGGCTGGCTTCTACCTCAACTGCTTCTCCTCCCATCTTTGTCTACACACTCAGCCTCTTATGATAGCACAGGAATCTTTGCCATACTCTCACTTCCTCTCTTCAGTGTATTGTGAGTTTTCCTGTTGTGAGAGTGGTTTTTGCAACTCTGGATATGCTTCCCAGTTCTTACATGCTACCAGTGACATCATCTCCAGCCTATAATGGAGGGGTGTTTGTTTGTTTGTTTGTTTTGTAGACAAAGTCTTATGTAACCCAGGCTAGCTTTAACTCACTATATAGCCAAAGATAACCTTGAACTCCTGATCCTCCTTCCTCTACAGCCCAAGGGCGGATGTGCTGTCATGCCTGTCTGATGGTTTTCTAAGTGACCTTTTAGGGCTGCATAAAGGTTGTCAGGAGTCCTCTGCCATGGTTCCCATAGGTTTCCCATTAGTCAGAGTTTGGGGTGCTTCTACTGTAATTCACTCTTTCTCAGCTGAACCGTGAGAGCTACTTCATGAACACAGTGTTTTCTTTCTTTTGAATTATTTCCTTAGGAGAAGTTTCCAGAAGCGGAGTTTCTGGTTCAAAGGGTATGGATGCTTTCTGTATGTCTCTAACTTCACACCTAGCTTTCTCTCTGGGCCAGGCCCACATCCAACTGCTTCAGCCCTGCTTTCAGGATGACTTACTTTCACAGCTGTCTCCACAGCCTTGGTGGGTTTCTAACCTGAATGACTGTCACCTAAATCTAGCTGCTGGCAAATATGGCAAGGAAGCTGGTAGAGGTGACCTCCTCAACGCTTGATCCAGGGCCACCTGTGCCATGGAAAACCCTCACTCACCATGTACCCCTCCCAGAGCTGTAGGCTAGGAGCTCCTACTCTCACTCAGCCCCAGTTGGAGCTGAGATTCTTCAGCCTCCAGACCTTCTCTTGCAAAGCCTCTGTATGGTCTGGGTTTCTAGATCCTGAATGTGACTGGGTTTGCTTCCATAGACTCATAGAAGCTAAGAAATGGAAGTTTCTTCTTGTTAGAGCTCAGTCTTCCCTTTTGAAATTTGGTCTCCTGGGTTCCAAGATCTGAAACAGTCATCATTTCTTATTACTTTTGGCTATGACTTTAAAACTTTGTATCTTGATTTAGCAAAGAAAAGAAGAGTGCTGGATAAAACGTTGGGTCCCAACCCCTGACTTGGAGGCCAAGGACTGTGCTCAGAAGAACACAGGCTGTGGAACTGCATGGGCAGCCAGCTAACAGCCCTGTGCCTCCGTCTCTGCTTGTCAGATGGGAACACAGAGGGTCATTAAGAGGCCCAGATGGCAGGCAGCTGGGCATGGTGATGCACCTTTATTCTCAGCACTCAATGGGGGATGGGGGTGTGCAGAAGCAGCCTGGTCTACTGAGTGAGTTCCAGGACAGCCAGGGCTACACGGAGAATCCCTGGAAAGAGTGGGCAGGGTGGGGGGGGGAGCCCCACAAAGTGTTCAATGACTTTGAGTGGTGTGAGGGAGCTGTTAATCTCTCTAGGGTGGTGGCATGAAGTGGCCATGGGGCAGGCCAGCATGCATGCCAGCCCCTCTGGCTGCCTTGGGAACCTACTTCTGCCCTGTGGGACTCACCTCTTTCTGTTCTTAGACGTGGGCTTCTTTTGTACGTGGCTTTCCCTTGAGAGTTGGTACTTTAAATGGTATTATGTATGCTTTATATTCTATTTTATAGTTTAAATGACTTTATTCTTATGTGTGTTCCTGGAAATATCTTCTATTCAACATTTGCAGAGCAAAAGCAGATGTTTCATCAAAAAAAGGTGTACATTAAGAGCCAAATTCCCAATTCATAGATTCCTTGGAAAACCTGTCTTCCAAGGGATTGGCTACAGAAAGCAGCATGTGTTTCTGTTTTTTCATCTCAGCCATTCCCCTACTGGGGGGTCTTTGCCATCAGAACCCTGACTGAAAGCAATGTACTTGATACCATCATCTGTTTTGCCCGTGACATGGCAACATGGGCCGACTAGGACATGCATCAGTAGGCTCTTTTCTTTCCTTCTCCTCATCCCTGAAGTTGTAACTACTTATTTGAGAGCTCTGGCTGCCATATAATACTGTGACACCTGCTCCCCGTTGCTGTTCTCTGGACTGGCACAGGGATAGGATTGCCTGGTATACGAGGCTGTGTCAATGTGTGCCTGATACAGCCCCTTAGCAGCTGTGTGGGCCAAGCTCACTCTGCCCTGTCAGCACCTCTCAGCAATCTTGCTCCTGGAGTCTTACATTTACAGTATAGGACCCCTGAACCCCAGCACATAGTAGGAGCTTACTAGATAGGAGCTCTTGATTTGTTTTGTTTTGTTTTGTTTTAATAGAACCGCTCCTCTATTTTTTCCAGTTGGTACAGGCTCTATGAAATCTAGACTTTAAAATCTGCTAAGGACATTCAGGTTGGCTCCTCATACCTCCCCACCATTACTGCAGGAAAGCTGCCTTTGTCCTGTAGTCCCTGTGTATTCAAAAGTCTATGTTTCTTCAGATGAGGTCAGGGCTGTGGAGTACTTTCAAAGTCTCTGCATGAGGAGCCTGCTCCAAGGCAGGATCAGGGCTTTGTTAGCTAATCAGAGATACTCATTGCCTGAGCCACTCAGATGCAATGACCCTCCAGCCCTTTGAAGGCAAGAATTTTTTCTCTCTCTTTTCTTGAAAGTTCCTTACTAGATAAAGGATTTCTTCCTTTCATGTAAGCTAGGACTGTCACCATCTTTGCCACAAACAGGAATTTACCTGTGTGAAGTCACAGTGATTTGTTTGCCCTGATGTTACTTTATGTTGGTAGTGGTATCTATCAAGGGCCTGGGTGACCACTCCTTGCTGCAGGCCTGTGCTGGCTGTGCCCCCTAGCCTTGTCTCAGACTGCAGCATAACCAGAGAACTCAAGAGTGCTGTGCCTTGTCCACCATAGTGGGGTTGGGGAGCAGTGGTGACATTGTCTGTGTGTCTCTGGAGCTGTGTTCCACAGTGTCAGGAAGAGACCTGAGGGTACTCTCACCTGTGCTTCTGGGCTCTCTGTTGGTAGCAAGCTTGTTTCTGGAGCTTGAGGGCTGCTTTTGCACTGATGTTCCTGGCAGCTGGTATCTCTGGTCTTTTCTCTGCTCCCAGGTCATGCCTGGTAGCCACACTGGATGCTGACAGACCTTTTTCATGGGTCAGGGATGCATGTGCTGACAAGTTGTCTCTGCCCCTCAGATGACATGAGGGCATGAGGGGCCCACAAGGCTTTATTGTCCATTGGCTAAGTATCAGCTCACCTCTCAGTGAGTCTAACCAGACCTAAAGCCTAAGTGCATGCTGCTCTCCTGTCTTGTGCCCTCATTTACTGGCTAGGACTGGCACACAACTGCTAATTGCTGTCTCCTGGCCCCATTAGCACAGTTGAAGTGGCAAGGAAGTTGTAGCCCTTCCTGAAGTGCTGCCTCATCACCTCCCTGGCTATTTTCTGGCTGTGGAATGGGCAAACTAGCAGTCAGGAGATGTGGGTTAAAGATCATATGACCCTTGAGGACAGGTCCTGGCAAATGGCAGGCCCCCAGTGAAGTGACCTGTTGGGGACTGAAGCAGCCTCTCTCCTGAAGTATCATCTTACTATGACAGCTCCAGGCCACAGGGCTTCAAGGCTGGCCTGTTCTGTCTCCTTCCTTTCCATTTAACCAAGAGTCACCATGCAGTGCCTTCATGCAGGGCACCTCTCCAAAACACTCATAAAACTCCACTCTCCTCTGCTCTCTGCTCTATCCAGGCTATCCGGGTATTCTTCATGCTGCGATCACTGTCACTGCAGCTGCGAGGGGAACCTGAAACCCAGTTGCCACTGACTCGGGAGGAGGACCTGATCAAAACAGATGATGTCTTGGATCTGAGTGAGTTGGCCATCATGTCTTGCACCAGTGGGCTAGGGGGTACAGGCTCTGCTCTGTTGAGTCACCAGCTGTGGTGTGGGAGTATGTGCAGCATGCAGTCTGCACTGCCATTGATGCAGGATCATGCAGAAGGGCACTGCTGGGCAGAGGAAGGTCCAGTGAGACTGGGCCTCACTGACATGAGGACAGCACTGGCCTTTCTGGTGTTGTGGATTAAAGGTTTCTGTCTGAGTCCAGTGGAGAAAAGTTTCTCTTGATGCCAAAAGGAAGCCCATAAAAAATAAGCCATCAAAATGAAAAGACACAACAAACCCAAAAGCAAATCACCAGTGTTTAGGTAAAAATGAAGGCTTTGGAAATCAGAAGAGCATGTGCTCAGCCTATAACCTTGAACTATATATTGACCATTGTCTATTGCTGTGATAAAACATCATGACCTAAACCTACTTACTCATCACAGTCTGTCATCAAAAGAAGTCAGGGCAGCAACCTGAAGGCAGGAACTGAATCCATGGAGGAATGCTGTTTATTGTCTTATTTCTTCCTCATGGCTTGCTCAGCCTGCTGTTTTTGTACAGTCCAGGACCACCTGCCACAGCATCACCCACAGTGAGCTTGGCCCTCCCAATTCAGCCACTAATCATGAGAATTCCCAACATGCATGACCACAGGCCCATCTTGTGAGAGCATTTTCTCAATTAAGGTTCCCTCTTCTCAAAGACTATAAGCTGTGTCAAGTTGATTAAAAACAAACAAACAAAACAAATAACGAGGACACTGTCATTCATTGCTTCAAAATTCCCTCGGCAACATAAGACAAAATAAAATATTTTTATTTTATTTTATTTTATTTTATTTTATTTTATTTTATTCTTGAGACAGGGTATGTCTGAATAGGCCAGGTTGGCCTTGAACTTGAGATTGCCTTGCCTCATTTCAAAAGTGCTGGGGTCAAAAGCATGTGTCTCCATGGCAAGTGAATAACTGAGGTTTAAGAGACTGTGATATCTCCAGAGCCCTTCTCATAGTTATATGGCTTTCTCTTCCCTCCATTTACACATGCACACTGAAGGACACAGGCTTTCTGTATGTCAGAGCATACTGGTGCATTAGGTGTCTGCTTTTAAAAGATCTATTTTTGCTTTCTTTAATTATGTGTGTATGTGCAGAAGACACATAATTATGTGACATTTAATTATGTGAATGATGAATGCAGGTGTCCTGGAGGCCAGAGGCATCAGATCCCCTGGAGTTAAAGTCATGAGCCACCATGTAGATGCTGGGAACCAAAGCTAGGTCGTCTGTAAGAGCAACAAGCCTACTTAACTGCCGAGCCATCTCTCCAGCTCCATGTTAGGAGTCTTTTAAGAAACAGAAAAGCTAAACCAGCCTGGCAGTGGGAAAAGAAAGGAGCTGGCTAATAGTTTTTGGGAAGGCCAAGAGTAGTGTTGTCTTCAGACAAGGCTGAATCTGGATGTTGCATCAGTCAGTAGAAAGCTGCCCCTTGCTCTTGGCTCTGCTTCCCTGTCTCCCCATCTAGTGGAAAGATGACCACCATCAGCCCCAGCTAAGTAGCCCTGACAGAAATAACTATAAAAATCCAGAGTTGGCTTTCAGTAGCCCAGATTGGACAGTGGAGCTTTTCCTCAAACCATGCAATTATCAGAGGAATATATCAGGAACCTTTGCCAAGGACACAGGGTTAGCTCTGGATACTAAGTATGAGAAGGGAGACCCAAAGAGGATAACCTCAAAGGAGAGGTATGGGCAAGGCACACAGAAGCAGCAGGGACTGCTCTGTAGTCCAGCTGTGTGAAACCATCTTTCTGAGGGATGATTTATAAGTTCTACCAACCGTCAGTATATATAGTTCAGTGAGTTCTGACAAAACTGTGTAACCAGCTCTCATAACAACCATTGAGTGCTAGCTCTCATAACAACCATTGAGTGCTAGCTTTCAAGCCAGCTCTGCTCTACTTTTTCTCCTGCACCATAGCCTCTGTTTTTCCCTCTGTAAAATGGGATTGTTGCTATGAGGTAGTGGGACACACCTTTAATCTCAGCACAGTAGCACTCTTTTAATCCCAGGCAGAGGCAGGCAGATCTCTGTGAGTTCAAGACCACTCTGATCTACAGATTGAGTCCTAAAAAAGCCAGGGTTACACAAAGAAACCCCCCAACCTCGTCTCAAAAAAAAAAAAAAAAAAAAAGGTGTAATTGCAGGCATTGCAGGTAGAGGACTCTTGGAAAGCCTTTTTTAGCGTACAAGGCTCCAGCCTCCATCCTTACTGTTAGAGGAGGAAAAAGGCAGAGGGGCAGCCATCTTGTTTAGTGCTGAGTGAAAGATGGCATGAAAACCACAGCTGCACCCCTTATCTGAGCAGCTAGTGGCTCAGCACACCAGAGCATCCTACCTCCTGCATGGCGCCACATTGCCCAATGTGGGGCATCATCTCTCACCAAGGGACCAAGATACAGAAGAGCACCTCACTGGCTCCTACTCCTCTGCTGGCACTTGTCCTGTTTGTGCTTTCATCTCTCCTTGTGTTAGAGAAAGAAAGAAATTATGACCCTCTTTGCCTGTCTCCTTTGACCCTTCACCCTGAAAAACAGCTGTAGTGATTTCTGTAAGGCTAGAATTGATCGAGTTGGCCAAAGAGAATCAGGGCCAGGCTTTCTCTCATTGGATCCATGCAGAGAGGGAGACAGCTCCCTTCAATTTTACATCCGTGAAATGGAATTAAATTTTATGCTGGGAATTCATATTCCTTCTCTCCTTCCCTTAGGAAGGGCCCTGCTGAAACAAAGGTTAAAAGTATTTCACTTATCAATTTTAATTGATTAGTTGCTAGTTGAGATCACTTAACTGAGCCTTATGGTAGTTGGCCATTAAGAAAGTAATGGCTGGCTGGCTTTACCCAGCCTGATTGCAAATTATGTCTTTTGCTAAAGAGTATGATGTTCAGAAAACTTGGAGCAGTAGGGATTTTAAAACCTGGTTCTACCATGTTGTGAGCTACTGCTGCTGCTGCTGCTGCTACTGTTGGTTTGGTTGGTTGTTTAAAATTATTTTGGTGATTGTAATCTTGAAAAAGATGATCGCACTTCAAAGTACACAGGTTTCTATAATGCTAACCCTGGAATGGATGGATGATGGCTGAGTGATTGGAAGCCTGATGTCTTTCTGTCTTTCTGTCAAACTCGGAAGCTGATCTAAAAAGAGAGGTTTGGGATTGGTGCACTTTAATCTCCCATGATAAGGTCTGGTAGGCTTAAAGAAATGCTGACTTTACACAGCAGGAAACATGACATAACAAGTATTTGTTGACCTCATTTTACTGATAAGAAACACAGCCTTAGAGAGCACTAGCAGCCAGACAAGACTCTGCTGACCAGTACCGGGTTTTTGGTCCTGCATGGCAGGAATCACATTAAGATGCCTTCCATACCGTGCAGCAAAGTTGTTGTTACATTCTGGGTCTGCTTTGAGTGAAGCCTGTCTTTGTTCTTCTAAATAGGAGGCTGGCATAGGGCAGAGGTCATGAGCTGTTTGCTGTGTCTGCTGAATGAAGGAGGGAGAGAAGAGAGGAGGAAAGAGGCTTTCATTCCGGGAATAGCATTCTGGCTCACCAACCTCTAGGCCTCAGCCTCACCATTGTCTGCCCACATCTTGCCTTTTGCAGTGTGCCAGCACCCAGTGCACATTAATTGTCATGGCTTTTCCAACTCTTTCCTTGTTAGTTGAATGAGTTGCCTGTTTTACAAACTCCAAGACTCTAGGGTATGGGTTGCTGTTTGAAATTAGAGATGGAACTGTGTACCTCTGCTCTCAGCTTGCCCTCCTGGTGTCATAGGCAGGCCCTGGTAGAGCCAGAAGCCAGCTGCTGTGACCTACAACCACAGTAGTATATGCGGTGCACCAACTTACATTCTCACTTTTTTGTTTATGTGAAACAGGGTCTCATTCAGTAACTCAGGGTGGCCTGGGTTGTAATCACTTGTAATGACAGCTGGCCTTTGAACTCCTGGCAGCTTCTCTGTCTTAGATACTTAAGTGCTGGGATGATTGGTTTGAGCCACTGCACCCAGTGTATTCTGACTTTTAAAATTCTTCCATGAAGTCCATTCAGTGAAAATCTGGTTGATTTTCTTTTCAGGTGTTATTGAGTACATGCTATATGTCAGGCACTGTACTAGAAGCTGGAGTCTGACTATGTGACAGTAGGACATGCTCAGAGCAATGCTGGCACCATGACAGTGTCGGGGAGGCTACTTAGGAAGGAGACATCTCCCAGACATGCCAGTGGGACAGGCGTCCTAGGTGGCTCACATTCAGGGTCAGTGTTTTATGAGTGACTGGCAGAGATATAGATTGACTCTGGGGATCTAGCTTAGGGCAGTCCACATGGCAGGTTCTGGTATCTGGTGACTCAGCAGGTCATCAGTATAGGCAGGCTCTGTAGAGGGGACAGGTTCCTGCAGCAGGTGAGATCGACAGTGAGGGAGCCCAGAGAGGCATGTGTGGCAATTAGGACACCACCTCAGCCCTCCTCAGCCACTGTGGGTCTGACTTGGCTCCGTAGACTTCAGAGTGAAGGAGACCAGGAGCCTAGATCCTGTTCTGTGGGGCTTGGGTTGGACAGAACCACCGTCCTGTTCTGTGGGGCTCGGGTTGGACAGAACCATCATCCTGTTCTGTGGGGCTCAGGTTGGACAGAACCATCATCCTGTTCTGTGGGGCTCAGGTTGGACAGAACCACCATCCTGTTCTGTGGGGCTCAGGTTGGACAGAACCACCGTCAGTCACTGGAAACTTCCATCTTCAGGGTGGAGCCCTATAGCAGCTTGTTAGAGCCTCAAGAGACAGGCCTGAGCATGCAGACCTCAGCCCTGGAGTGCAAGGCTCCTCAAGTTCCCCAGTCTGGGTCCTGGAAAGTATCCTCCTACAGACTCTAGGGTTCCATAACCCAAGGCAGCATCACAACAAAACAGTACAAGAC